CGGATGGGATCGGCTGATCTCCCGACTCGGTCGCCTCAAAAACAAACGTGCTTGTTTTAAGTTTCAGGCGATTGAGTCGGGTGATCGGCCCGATCCAGCCGTAGGTAAAATCAAAAATAATTCAAAGTGGTGTTCCGAGGTTGTGACTGGCGACATTCAGACGTGAAAATTGAGAAAAAATTTGGGTGTACACTGCGCAACTGTATTTTGAAGGCACATCTATTTATTCCCAGGTTTGCCTGCTATCAATGGTGCGACGACAAATTAAATGAATTATAATAGCAATGAAAGGGGAACCTGCTTTTAAACTTTGCCAGCAATGGAAAGATATATGTTGGTGAAAAAATCAAACAAGACAAAATGTTTGTGAAAAAATAATGTTATGGGCTGTAGGCAATCTCTTCAAACAGGCTCCCAAATGCCATTTTCAACCCTCTAAAAGCACTAAATTTCAATTTCTTTGGGGGCTTCGGCCCCTGAACCCCCACAGGGACTCTATCCCTGGACCGTGCTTGGGGCCTCTGCGGCCCCCAGACCCCCGGCAGAATTTTCTTATATTTCAGCTTCAGCTGGCGGAAGCACTGCACGCTATCAATGAAGGAGAACCCGGGTCACCCCGAAAAGTTGCAGGCTAACGGGGCTCTGGTGAAACTGTCAAGCTTAGCAAATTGGCAGCGGATTATTTATTGCTAAAAAAAACTAATGGAAGAAAGAAACCTGACTGACATAGACAGAAAACGACTTGGAAACGTTAAAGGATTACGAGAAAGGATTTTCATTTTAAACATCTGTGGCATGAAAGACAAAGAACCAGAACTTATTACTTTCATGAAAAGGTGGAGAATACCAGTACTTGGACTGTCTGATTGCCGTTTAAAAAGAAGCGGGACCAATTAAATACATTGAAATTACGAACTAATTTTTTAGTGGAGTAGATATGAGAGAGAGAGAGGCAATCATAATGTGGGATTCATAATTAATAACAGCCTGACACGGCAGAAAGAGTATAGAAAAATAATTAATATCAGAAGGGATCTTTAAAATCAGAATACACAAAGCGCAAAAAAGTGAAAGTATCATCCAAGTGTACGCCCTTTGTAGGGACACATACTCAAGGAAAGATAAAGAAGAATTTTTTCAGAAGTTGGCTTACACCATAGACAGTGTACCTGATGAGTAGGAGCTAATAATAATGGGAGACTTCAATGGACACGTAGGCCCAAGAAGGACACCATGGGAAAACTACCTAGGACCACACGGTGACAACAGTTCAAATTGTAACTATAATGGGGAACAACTATTAGCTCTCTGTGCAGAGTATGAATTATACATCACAAATACTTTTTACAAGCACAGGGCAAGTCAAACTCAGTCATGGTACAAATGGAACAACCTAGAAATTTCCTCACAGATTGACTTCATACTGAGACGAATCGCCCTTAGAACAAAAACAACTGATGCAAGATCAATCCCAAACATCACCTTTGGTACAGATCACCGACAAGTGATGATGACGAGTAAACAGAAAAAAAAACCCACGCGAAAACAAAAGAAGAAACATTCAGAGAAAATTAATTTATGAAAACTCAATGAAGAGGGCAATGTGCAGAAAGTTGAGGACGAGATCATAAAGAGACTAGAAAAACCAAGACACCTGTGCAATGAACATTGAAGAAACATGGACCCTCTTCAAAAACTTGCACAGAAACACTGATAAAAGTATGTTGAGAGAAGAGAATTGGGAGAGAATTCATTAAAGGAACACCATGGTGGACTGACAGCGTCAAAGACAAAATTGAAGAAAAGAAAAAACTTCTTCAGAAATGGATAAAATCCAAGGACGAAAACGACTACACTACACGCAATACAGGAACTGCAAAAGAGTTGTTAGAGCATCAAAAATGAATCATGGGCAAAATATGGAGAACACCTAAGCGAACTGTGCCATAAATCACCACGTGACTTTTACACAAGTGTAAAATCAATGAGGCTCAGAGAAGAACCGTACGACCCAACAGCTATAATTAGATACAGGAAACCTCATTACTGACAGCTCCAAAATCAAATCTGGATGGGGGGAATATTTTTCAAAACTTTTGAACACCACTCAAAAGCAAACAAAGATTCCAACCAAGTCACCCAGAGGAAGACGAACCAACCATCCTACCATCAGCAGAAAATGTGTTATCAACTCAGTCAACTTGGGTAAACATGATCCGTTCGGCCATTGTAGGGACTGACAATGAATGGATTATTGTGGCTCATCCAGAGCATCAAGAGCTGATATATATATGAGCAATTGCCAAAACGTGAGACTCTCTTGAGACTCAGTGGTGCAAAAAAATGTTTCTTACCAATTTGACTCTCTTTTCTGTCAGTCACAGATTGACATTTAGTGCTCATTATTATTCCTAGAGTATCAGAGCAAGGAGATGTACGGTTTTGGAGATATGGGTCTATTGGTTTGGCAACTACTGTATTTCTTGTATGTAACAGTGATGACAAAAACAGATACGCAGCAAGGCAAATTATAGACTTTAAATTCCATTTGTTTAGTAAACAAACACTTTGTACACTATGAACTCCATTCATAATGGTAATATGAATGGCAAGCTTTGTAACAATGACGCAGTGCACAGAACATGTCATCATTGTTATGTACAAGAAAGGATACACATTGGACATTATCATTGACAACACATCACAATAGTGAAAGGCTGTACAAATACAGTTATCAAAGCCTCAGTACCAGAAAAACACATGTGTAAAACAATTTTTTCACTAATATGAGGCAAAAGCACAAAATCAATGGAGCTGACTTGTACATAACAGTGATGACAAACATGACTTGTACATAACAATGATGACACAATGTACAGGAAAAGGCAAAAGTCTTGCCTCCAGAGATAAAAGCGCACTTTAAGAATTTTTAAAAACCCAGGAGAGGTTTCTTTTGCTTTGAAACAGATACCAGGTCATATCAAAGACAGTGGACGATCACAATTATGTGGCTAATTATGACAAACAGTACTCGTACATAACAGTGATGACAAAACATACTGGGAAAAGGTAAAATCATGCCTACAAAGAACAAATTTGCACTAAGAGATACACAGATCAATAAAGGCGTATTTTGCTTCTAAATGAATCTTGCATGTATGAAATACATGTTGAAAACTTATTGATATTAGCAATTATGAAAAATATTACTTGTACATAACAATGATGACACAATGACACAATGTATTGGAAAAAGGTATATCATACCAACAAAGAACAAATGTGTATTTTTGAGTTAGACAGATAAACAAGGACATGTTTGTTTATTTGTTTGAGTATAGAGAGCACACATTACTTTAAAAATGTTTGCTCTTAGGACAATGTAATTTCTTGTACGTTAGTCAGTCTTGTACGGCTGCATGACGACACCCCAAACGTCATCACTGAGCACAAAAGCTAAATCTATAACCACAGAAATGATCCATCTCTCAAAGTTTGTTCACACATCACACTCTTGTTCCAGGAATCCAGTGTAAACACCGCAATTTCACTAAAATATTCAACAGAGTAGCCTAAAAACACGCAAAACAGCCCAGTACGTCACATTCAACGCAAAATACTTGTGCGTCACCGGACGCTGAAGGCAATGACTACTTTCATTTATCTGTTTCCCCCGTTGCTTCTGTTGTTCTGGGGACGCGGGTAAGGGGAAGTCACTCAAGAAAACCATTATATCCGGGCACTTTTGATAACCCGTTCAAAACAAAAGTGGGCGAAATTCGGACTTCCGGCACGTCGCAAATTGACGACAATAACGGCGAATGTTAAACAGCCGACCGAAATCGTAGATCTAGGACCCCGATGTTCCTTTCGCGCATCGCGGCTTTTAAAGTATTGAATAAACGACGATAGGCAAAGAGATTTAACCAGCTACGGTGATTCTACTGAAAAATAATGGTGTTTTCTGAAACACCTAGTCCGTGACGACACGACAGACGCACAAGTAATCCGAATTGTTCGTCTATTTGCAAACAAATAAACCGATTTCTTGAGCAAGTTACCTTTCTCAATGACAAATAACATAGGATCAAAGCACACGTAAAAAAAACACATCCAAAAATACTAAATTTTGGACATTCTTGGAAGTTTGCATTGGTGTGCTCAAAATAACACTCCAGGAATCACTAAAAAACGAACATTTTTGACACAAAATTTACAAACTCAAGATTGTTAAGCTGACAAGGGGTCTGAAACTGCTAATGCAGGTTCTACATCCTATATTTGACGTGTGTATACGTTTTGGAGAAATAAATACTAATGCATCACATTTTATGCACACTAATGTGAGATGTGTGTGTTTTTCCCCACGTTTTGGCAATGTCTCATATACATATATATATATATACACTACAGTATAACACGGATAGCTCAAATTGGTCGGGACCGGCCTCGGTAGTTCAAGGGGTGCATAGTTCGAGGGATACGTGAACCATGTTATCGCATCGGGTGTGTCAGAGAATCAAGGGAAGCAACAAAGATTGGGTTGAAACAGAGATTTTTTTATTTTTTTTGCCGTTGTCCTAGATCAGATAGGTTAGATCTATGCCTATCCTATAGACTTGAATTTGAAATTTGAGAGAATTTGACATTGAGAGATTGAGAATGAAAAACACGATGAACAACACGTTTGAGTTTGATCGGTGATGAGCCTACCAGTAACAAGACAGTTAAATTGCGCAGGTTAGTGTGAGCTGTCTTTAGTCTGCACCAATCGAACGGTGCCTTTTCAAATTTTTCAAAACAAACTATTTGACAAGATAAGCATATGGCAACAGTAATTGACAATGCGATGACGAAACAATGCAGCCTTACCCCACCTCTCCCTCCAAATGCACATTCCTTTACAAAGATGTGTGGGGCGGCCGATCGTGTGATGCCCAACCCCTCCTCTTGCCCACTCTGCATAAGCCTAAATAGGCCTAGGACCTAGGCACGCATGTCGAGCAGCATGCTAAAAATAGCACAGCTGGCTGCTTCTGTGGAGGGGGGAGGATAGTGTTTTACCGACCTTGCCTTTTTCCATTTTTATTTTTATTATTATTCTAGCATCTGCGTTTGTTGCCATTTTTTGGTCAAAAAGTTGCAACAAAAAATGGCGAAAGATGCCATTAATTTTTCCAACTGTCAACTCTCTGTGACGAAGTATATAGCAGTATGTTGTGCTCCGTTTTAGTTTTAAGCATCCAGAATATATTATTTGTAGCCACACAGAGTGTAAAAACGTGAAAAATAGAGATTTCATAACCGAATGAAATCAAAACTAGAACAGCACATAAGCAACCACAAGCATTAACAAATAAGGGTGTGTGTCCACATATCCGAAGTTTGGCCGTTTTAACCCTATACGTGTGTAATTCAAGAAAAAGTAGCCTACAGGATATTACGTGTAAATTATGGAAGCACGCACAAGGGGCCTGCCAGAGTCAGTGTTCGGTTTTGGTGGAGACGCGCTCTAACATAACACATTTATTTTTTTAAAAGGTAGGAACAACATCAAATTAAATGCAATACGCTATATATAAACATTTTAAAAAATAGAAAAAACACATCAAAACAATTGTTTAAAAAATTAACGCACCAACAAATTACGAAGAGGGAAAAATAAAAAAACTCAGCAATATAGGATACTTTAAAAATGATTTAATATGTTATGAAGTAGCTTTTTTTTTGCTTTTTTTTTTGTTTTGAAAAATGCAAAAATGGCGGCCGGGATTCGCGGACCAAAAAATGCCAAAAATCGCAGCCGTGGCAAACAACGCAGATGCTAGATTATTATTTTGTCTCGTGTGCACCTCAAAGGACATTGACTTTAGTTTGACTATTCCGAGTTTTGTGTTCGAGCTTCGCGTAATTTTCTTACAAAGATAAAGAAGGGAAAAAAATGGGACCGCAGGCACTGTTTGACGGATGCGTGATTACGAGTAATCATTGTTCGACCTATCTGGGTTATACTGTATAATTGGCAGGTACGGAAATAGAATATAGATCTGTCAGGGAAATCTCCATCTTTTTGATACCCACTGTTGTTTTGTTCTGGTATTTTTGCAGGTTCTGACAGTGAAGTTTCATTGGATCCAGCAAGGAATGTGTCCCGACTGTCAGAGAATCAGCACAGACAATACCAGGGGCTGCCCCCTGAACTTCCTTACAAAGATGTGAGAATGAGAAGAAAATTGTTTGCTAAATATGGCATGGCCTCCAATGAAGACCCCCGGATTATGTGGCCTTCGAGATCCGAGCTATTGAGTCTTGAGGAGGAGGAAAGGGCGGAGGGAGTTCCTCTCCAAGAACGTCTAGCAACCATTCAGTCTGAGCAGGAATCAGCGAAACGAGCACGCGCAGAGCGGTGAGTTCACTCAGGGTCGTTGTTATTGATCCCATACTGTCGTTGTTGTTATTGATCCCATACTGCCGTTGTTGTTATTGATCCCATACTGTCGTTGTTGTTATTGATCCCATACTGTCGTTGTTGTTATTGATCCCATACTGTCGTTGTAGTTATTTATCCAGAGCTCAGTCAGGGAACGTGCACAGGTCATCAGTGTCTGGCTGGTTCAGACCGCCTTAGACTTAGACAAAAACTAAGACACGCTGTATTAAATCTCTCAAGGAGAAAAATTCATCTTGGTCCTGCACAAATACCATACCATGGTACTTTTTATAAGAAACCACACACTCTTCAATCCTCAAAATCTAAACGAAGGTACTGTAGCATTCAATATTCCAAAAATTAAGAGCATGATGGAGCCAGATTTTCAGGGTACTGGGCTTAAGAATATCAAATTGTAGGTTTCAATCTCTACGTATCATTATGAAATACTCCAGAATTGAGCCATTGCTGTCCTATTCCACTTTTTAAAAATTTGTCGTGAGCATCCACCCTTCACTTTTGTTTCAAAGTGGCACAGATAAATTCAGGTCAAGTGTCATGTCAGTAACAACACAGCATTGGGCTGGAGTAGTCGCTGGACCTTGAGAAACACACAATTAGATAACCTTAGCTAAAAAAACTTGGCACTGCACAGTGGCGACCAGCAATAATGTGTGGATTATCTATGTTTGTGATATTTGTATATAATACATGCATTAATTTATGTATTTTTGTAATGTACTCCATTGTAAAATAAATATCCCAAGAGAATCAATATATAGACTATAGCCTAGTGCCTATAGTGGATTGTGTCGATGGGGTGTAAAACACCCACATTATGAAAAAAAAACAATGAAATGGAATGTTTTGGGTTTTTTAAATTGTAAGTAATATGTGTATCGGCGCGGTGGAAACAGGCATCGTCAATTTTTTGGCACATGGAGTTATATGGTATTATCTGAAAGCTGATTTATTTGCCTTGCTTCTAATGAAATAAATATCCATTTATCTTGAACAGAAAATGGCCACCAAAGTTGGGTGGTAACTCCAATAGCTAAAGAGTCTTGTAAAACTGAAAAATGACATATTTTGTGCCTTTTAATCCATGTTTTTCAGTAAAATTCACATGGACATATGTTTTTATATATATATATATACAGTCGAACCTGCCTTAACAGAAACCTGTATAAAACGGAAACCTGTGTAAACGGAATCTCCCGGCTCCCCCCTTGATATATTTCTCTTTAATTACCTGTATAAAACAGAAACCTGTCCAACGCGGAAACGGAAAGAAAAATCTGATCCCTTCCGAGGGTTTCACTTGCTTAAGATGAAAAATGCTTTGCCCACTCAGCCCTGATTTGAAACAAAACTCACAAGTTTGGTTCCACCGGCTCTAAACTTAACGCCATGGCCATGCCGCTGGGAGAGGAAGTGGAGTAGGGATGCGATTTGGGGTAGATGTTACCCCATCATGTGAGCGCTGAGCGATGCTGATGGTCAGGGTAGTGTGGGTGTGAAATCTCACGACTGCCCGTGAGAGTGCTCGAGTAGCTAGCCACTACGGAAACTTTCCTGGGTAGCCAGAAGCCAGAGGTGTGAAATTAGTTTGACCAATCCCTGCCACCCAGGTCGTACGGCCAGCCAAGATAAGAGTTCCTCGAATCGCTGTTACGTGGCAGTGAGGGGTAGCATTGGTTTGACTGTGCTTGTTATACCGATGGGTGGGGCTAAGGGTGGAAGCAAAGGAGAAGTTCAAACATTTCTGTTTCTAATAGGTCAAACAGTGGTCCTACTGTGAAAGGCAAGCACTGGTGGTTATTGGATAAGTAAGACTGATGCATGTCATTATCAGACAGGATAGCAATTGAGAGGTGTGAAGTTTTGACCACTGCTTGCCGATCGGACAAGCGATCCTTGATCCCTTTGAACCCCCACCCTCCATCTCCCCCTAAATTCTCCTGTCTAAGACGGAATTTTTTTCTGGCTCCCTTGCGATTCCGTTTTACACAGGTTCGACTGTGTATGGACATAAGAGTAAGAGAGATTTAGCCCAAAAATACAAATTTGATAACATTTTCCGAACTGGCGAAAAAATGCCTGTTTCTCCAATTTCATTAGTTTGAAGAGCGCCTGATTTCACCACGCTGCCCCACGTATATTCCCAAATAAATGACAGCAAGACTACATGTATCATCAATTAGTCGCAGATGTAGTGGTGGTTGAAAGCAACACATGATGATCTAAATACTAAATCTAAGCCTTAAGCTCCATGTCTTCATGCTGAAGACACATGGGCAGCTTGTAAAGAACATTCCAGGTGTATTGGCTGACATAGGCCTACTTATGAACACAGATGGCAGATGGTGGTGTAAAGCCGCAAAAATAGGCCTACTATGTTTGAATAGGCGTTCCTTTTCGTACATTGGCAAAAACTGGCAGTGTAATGGGGGGCAGTACGAGGTTTGACTGTACTCCTTAATAGTTTTCCCCACGTGGAAATGCAACTCATTCTGCGTGTGATGGCAGAGGGCTTATTAAGCGCCACACCCCAGACTACTACAGACGCTGGTGAAGAGACTGGAATGAGGAGTGTGACCCTTTGTTCCTGAAACTTCATTTTTGTCTACGCTGTCGTAATGAGTTCTATTGAACTGGTACTATACAAAGTCTCTAATTATCTTTTCTTCTGTTTGGCAGACACAAAACGATCGAGAAGAACATGTCCCAGATGCCTCGTCTGATCTCAGAGTATCGCAAACGTTTGCAGCAAGCAGAGAAGGAAGTGCGGGATAGACAAAGCACAAAGGAGGCGCTACTGGAGGAGGCGAGGGAGTACTTCGGCTACAAGATTCAGGCCAACGACCCCAAGTTTGAGCAAATGATGGAAGAAAGAGCAGAGAAAGAAAAGAAAGAAGCAAAAAAACGCAAAAAGGAGGAGAAACTGAAAAAAGCAGCAGCAAAACTTTTACAAGAAGCAAGAGAAATGGGACAATCTACTGGAAAGGAACAATGACATTTTGTGTTTATGTAATTAAAGTAATAAAATCAGAGGTTGCTGCCAAAGTTACCAACATTAATTTCTTTGGTCTTAACTGAATATATTCATGACTGACTTACTGTTACTGTTACTCTGTCTCAGTTGAGAAAGAGAGAGAAAGAGGCTCTTTCTGTAACCTTTCTACTGCTACTCCTACGCTCCCTCTTACTGCTGTCTTTCAGCCACACCCCTAATCTTCTGGTAGGAAATATCTACACCTTGCCTTTTCGGAACTTTGCATGGCACTTTTGCAGGCCAGCGACCAAACAAAAATACAGCGGAGTGCGCTTAAGGTGAACACAATTTATGATATTCTGTGGTCCTGATAAAAACGCTATAATTTGTTTAAGTAAAAAAATAGCGGATAAAAAATTTTTAATGAACCGGTTTCATGGGGAAATCGGATAAAGTGAATGCCCAAAATTTGTGAAAGCGAAGAACAGACAGACCGTGTCACTGTTGCCATGCTGTGAAAATTAATAAAATTCTTTGCCTTGGGCATCGTAAGACAATCCCAGCTCAGCGTTGGCGACGGCAATCGGAAAGAAAGAGCTCTAGTCTAGGCTCCACCTTCACCCTAGACCCATCACTGCACGTAGCTACTGTGTCTAGGCCTCCACCTTACCAAATGTTAAACTGAACCTCGGATAAAGTGATCACTTTCTTCTGGTCTCAAAGAGTTCACTTTAAGTTTAATCGGACCCCACTGTATTTTAATTTTTTAAAATCTTAATCCAGTAATAAAAACGTGTTTCTCTTTGGGTCCTCCATTCTTTGGATGCGTACACGGGATCACGAAAATAAATGACTTATTTTATACATGTAGCCTACTTACACTTACAGTAATCTTGCCTACAAATTGCTCATTTTCAAACAGAAACACCACGCTTCCCCGTCATTTCAGTGTACATGTACTGTAATCTTGTACTTGTAGTTTGTAGATTTCATCCCCTAGCTGTCGAGACGTCTCCACGTGAGTCTCGTAAGTTACTCTCACCCCGTCTCTGGAATCGAGTTTCTTAGTAATCTTACTCTTAGTACATTGTAAGACGAACATTAAAGTTAAAGTGTTAACTGTTGAGGAAAATATGCCAACTTTTAAACGTTTTAGTAGATGTATGCTCTAAATCCCCTATTATTTCTTTGACTTGGCTTAGATCAAAGAAACTGCATCGGAACCTCAGTTTGCAGTCACCTTTATGAATTGGGTCTTAGATTCTATTGTTCATCGAACTTTTAGACCCTTTATGCAAAGATCTGAGAAGATTAAACAGGCTGATGTAATTTTATTTTGTTTTAACCAGTCAGACGAAAGTGAACAAGCTATAGCCTACAACATCTAGTTGTAAAATAAGCGTTCGCAATTGCAAATCAAATCACTGGTCTCTTCAGCAAAATCAAAGAATTCAACTTCAACTTGCCATATTCTAACATTAGCATGTACAGTGCAGCCTATAACGACATCAGTGGGACCAGAAAAAATGTCGTATTTTATAAGTTATATATATAAATAGAGAGTTGTCGTTATAGAAAGGCAACCAAAAACTACTAAATATAAGGAAAAAATCGGGACCTGGGCACCATGTCGCTATACTATACAGAGGATGTTGTTATTTCAAAGGTCGTTATAGTTATAGTATAGAGAGGCTGCACTGTACTAGACCAGTACAAAGAGTAGTATTACATCATGTGTTTTAGTATTAATCATAACCTGGGTTCAGTCAATACTGAGTCTCCAGCCAGTCAAGGCATACACATTAATTCTTATCTGTTCTGTTCACCCTACTCAAAAACTCGATGGGTTCAGTGAATGCACAATATAAAATACAGTACCGTATGAAACTTGTGGGGTTCAGTAGATCTTCCTCCACCAAGGTTGACCCACTAACTTCACTAAGTATTACATGACAAAGCATGTACACACAGCAAAGTTTAGTTTTAGTAAGTTTTATGGCACTTGCAACACAAAAAGTTCATATAAGCGCCGAAGATTTGAGGTGTTACAAGAGAGTAACAAACACAAAAAAGGAGGGGAGATAAGACTATAGAGACGATAGATTTTTTTTATAGGGAAGGAGCAAACCACACCAGAGCACCCGCCAACCACCCACACAGCGAAGTGGGGTTTTTTTCGGTGCTCCCAACTGCATATTATTATTATATGGTCATATTTCACAGATTTTATATATGAGCGCGTGGGACGCATTAAGCCTAGATTTTCTAAGCATTTTCAGTTTGGTTGGTAGAAGTAGAATTAATTTTTTTTAATTGGCCAGGTGGCGGCCAAAGCTTACTCTTTCGATTTTGGACCAAGGGATCTTTATATTGACATGCGCAATTTGCACACAGGACCTCAAGAGATTCTGTTGCCCTTATCTGAGAAGGCTAGGTGTTAGGTCTTACCTATCCTTAGATCAGGGGTGCGGCTGAAAAACAGCAGTTGAGTAATGAGCCACGAATTAGTAGCAGTAGAAAGGCTGTAATAGTAGAAAGAGTCAAGAGCTCAGAGGAGGAGGCAAAGGGGTGGGCAGAAGGTAGTAGTGGCTGGAGACGAAAGCAGATGACAGCATGGTTAGTTCAAGTAAGAGTTAAAGTAACCAGTTACATTGTAGGCCTACATGTACTCACCGAGTTAGAGAGCAGGAAAGCAAGTGAAGGGAGACAAATTTTAAAGAGAAAAAATGCTCCGTTGCTGCTGTCAGTGTCAGTGTCAGGTTTCGAATCCAGGACATTTTATTGAATGAGAGGCACTGTACCTAGGAGGCACTGTACCTAGGAGCCCCTGTAAAGTGGTATGGCGGTGTACTAACCATGTGTATGTGTACATGTTCTTTTGCATACCGGTACTGGTGATCTAGAACATTTTCTTTACATTATGCAGAGAAATTGGACACTACTAGTACTAATAATATAGTGTAAAGCGCATAGAGCCTGCTGCTGAGCGGGGATATGCGCTATACAAATGCTATCTATTATTAGACAGCACTACACTGAGGTTTTCCCCAATTTGGTTGGGGGTTTTTTGGTGTGTTTTACCGCGCTTGCAACTGCATAAGGTCATATGAGCAGGTAGGACACATTAAACTTTTTCAGTTTGTAGGAAATTTGAATTTTGCCCGGATGGCGGCCGAAGCCTGCTCTTATCGATTTTAGACCACCAAGGGATCTTTAACGTGCGCACCTTGCACAGGGCCCTTAGAGATTTTCCCCCGTTGTCCGAGAAGGCTAGGTGTAGATCTTTCTTACCAGAAGATCAGGGGTGTGGCTGAGAGACAGCAGAGTAATGTCATGGAGAAGCAGTAGAAAGGCTGCAGAAAGAGTCAGGAGCCCAGTGAAAGGGGCAGAAGAAGAGAGGGGGTGGGGGCAGAAAGAGGGGACGAAATCAGACAGAACATTGAGAGAGCAGGAAAGGATGTGAAAGGAGACAATTTTAAAGAAGAAAATTTTTCTGTCGCTTCTTGGATTCGAACTCAGGACCTTTGAATGAGAGTCGAACATCTTAACCTCTTGGCCATGCAAGCAAGCCCCCTCCCTGATTTGAAGTACTGGTACTCATGTATACAAGGCAAATTCACAAGGCAGGCTCCAGCCTTTGGAAGCTCCCCTAGGACTGCGTCTGCAGTTAAGTTTAAGTATAGAGGTTTTTACGGCGCTCGCAACTGCATGAGGTCATGTGAGCGCCAGAAGATTAGGTATTACAAGAGAGTAACAAACATAAAAAAGGAGGAGGGGAGATAACGACAATAGGAGTTCGATAGGAAAGAAGAAGCAAACCACACCAGAGCACCCGCCAACCACCCAATGCGTCTGCAGTGGCATTTACTTTTCCAAAGACATGCCATCAAAGTTGCATGGTTCCACTTACTCCAAAGCCAAAGTAAGAGATGACTTGCAGCATATAAGGCAAGAGTAAAATGTTATCCACTGGTGCAATAATTGTCCACACAAAGTAAAAGTACAAAAGGGGTGTCTGTCATTTTGTAATATGAAAGTATTTTCTTTCCACACACTTCCTACACCTCCACGAGCCAATCAATGTCAATTGAAGTGAAGCCCACCATAGCCAGCTGGTGTCAAACCATTCCTCCCATTAATGGAGAAAAGCAAAATGTGCAATGTATTATATATATAACTATAATATATACAGAGGTTTGCCTATCCAAAGAGGGTCCAATGATTAAAATTAAATCAGTTGCGTCCAGACTTCATACACTAAAACCAGAAGAGACAAACAAACAAACAAAAAAACCACAAAAGGAACCCAAAGTTTTGTATGCAGCTCTTTATTATACACTAGAATGAGGAGCAACACCCAGCACACTGTGTCATGAGGAGACCTCAGCTCCAAGCTACATGCTAAAATCATAAGACAGTCAGCTGGACACACTGACCACAACATAGGCTTAGTAATATCTGTTTTCTTTTCAAAGGACAAAAAAAAAACTGTGACATTCATGGAGGGTGTAACCCTGTACAGTGCACTGGCAGATGGCAAACACAAAAACTTCCTATACAAAACAAGCTATGTACATAGACAATTCACAATCAACCCACAACACACCCAAGCCAGCCTCCCATAGAGACTGGCACATCTTGCTCCACAAAGACTGCAAGTGGGGCACACCAGTAGGTGGAGACCAGCTCTCTCTCCCCCCGCAGTCCGCCCAGACAATACACAAGATGGTGATGATATGTAGTGGCAAGATGAACACACGTCACACGACCACAGAAGCACAACACAGTTGTAGCGACTTGCACAACACTCGAGAACAAACAGTATTTCACCCACAAAAACAGGAAAAAAACAACCTCCGCAGAAATGATCAAAGATTGAGAATAAAGAAAATGTAAATTATAAATATACAAATATAGCCAGTTGATCCAGCATAGGCTATGGCAATATTCAGCCCATGCTTTCACAACTGATAATATAAAAAACTCTGTTTAATATCCACAACAACTGCACAAAATGACTGACAGAAGAGAGTAGTATCCTCAGCCAGGCATTTCAAACAGTTGCACCTGACAAGTCAATCCTCCAGAACCACAATTGATGACCAATTGTTTCCACACACAGCAAAAAGTACACACGTTATGCACTAGGAAAAATCACCAGGAGCTTGACCATTTTCCCCTCAAGACTCTACAGTAATATGATACTTTTATCCATGCTCACAGTGAGAAACAACAGAACTGTCATGGAAATGGAGAAGCCACTTACGCTACTGCTGGCAAAGAACAATAATTGCCTCGTTCATCTATTGCAAGACGTTACCAACCCATAACAGTACAACCACCCCTCACCTATTGGAATAAATATAAAAATCTGCCAGGACCTAGCTGGTGTACAAAGTAAAAATCTGTTCCAAAGTACCCGAGTGAAAATATTCAGAGCAAAGCATAACCATTATCATACGAAGCTGTGAGCACCAAACCCTAATATGGACATGTCTAACAAAGCCCAAGCCGTTTCCAAAATAATAACAAGACTTTAGTTAAAAGCAATTGCTATTGTCAAGAGTCTTAATTCTCTCTTGAAACCCCGTGCAAGCCTCACCCTTCCCCCTGCTCAGCAGAATTAGCAGGAATTTTAAAACAAAAAACCAACAAAAACATGCAAAACCTTTTCAATCGAAATCAAATGCGGTTCTTCGAAAAATGATTTAACTGGAGGATCAACTTATCAGGGCATCAAGTAGTCCATGAGAGTGGCAGATGATGATAGACATTCGTGACAACTCTGCTGCACTTTTCCTTTCCTTCCCCCCTCCCCAATGAAACCAACACAAATGAGATTGAACCACCCCCCCTCCCCCAAGAAGATAAAACTGTGCATGAAATTTCATCTACGAGTACAGCACAGTACATCTGAACCAACCATATATACTATATAATTATAATTTAGAATTTGAGATAAAGTATTCAGAGCCAGAGCAAGCACGAGTGGCTATCACCAGCTGCCATCTGCCATAAAGTGTGTGTGCGTGCGTATCACAGTTGGCTTGCAGCCTCAGCGCTGCTCTTAGTCGGGTCCAGGCACACACACACAGCATGTCCACAAGAGCTTGGGCCAGCCTCTTCAGTCCCCTGAGGGCAGCAGTGGCCACGGCATCATTGGGACAAGCATACAGCGTTAGAAGACAGTCAGCTTAGATCTTTCGCTGAGACCATAAAATAAACTGCCCCATAGGACACCGCCAGAAGGTGCACACACAGAGGCCAGCTGTCTACTGTCCAGACCCACCACCACAGCTAAGGACAGGCGTGACAGCGCCAGCCGCACTCGGTGGCTACCTTCTCATGGTGCCGCAGGTTACGGTAGCCTGACTGAGGCATAAAATATGACGGAGGAGACGTGTACATGGGAGGCTTGACGAATGCACAAAATCAGCTGTGACACTGATGATGAGACGAGAGTACCTAACATGACTATAGAGAGAACACAGTGCCCAGACAAACAGGAGAAACAGGCCGCCTTCCCTCTGTGAAAGACGGGGCCAGCTCAAAAACTGAGATTGGTGCTAGTGGCAGCGCCACACTTGACACTGACAACAACGAGACTAGGCTCTTACCACATCATGGCAAACACATTATTAACTTCTTCAGTTATTGTCTCTTCTATCCCCAATACTTAAAACCCGCTGCTTCCCGAAAAAGACGCAGACAAGACCACATCACCAGCTTGACTGTTAGACCCTTGACATGGGGAGCACTCCCTGCCCCTGCCTTCACTTGTATCAATACAACCCCCTGACCTCAGCCTAGCCTTGCTGTTGTGACCAGTGTGAGTGACGCACAAAGCAGTTGTAGCCTGTACTCCCAACAAAGCCAAACAGGCTGTCAAAATTATCACAAAACACTGAGATCATGCAAGGAATTCCGTAGAGTCAAAAAAATAGTACAGACACTTATGCAGTGCAGCATTAGTAGTGACAATGGGAAAAAGTACAACTGCCACAAAAACTTGACACTGAATGCCTTTCCTTCCTAGCATTGTTCAATGTTACCAACATAGAGAGAAGACAGAAGCACAATGCGCCTCATGGCGCTAACCCTTGTGTGTGTCTGTGACTAGCTCCACACATTTAATTTCTTACTTCGTAGGTAAAATAATTCACAAAATCTATTTGCTTTCCGATCACAGGGTCCTGACTGGTAGGTATGCCAATGCCTGTGTGAGGAACTAGCCGCGTGTCCCACCACACTAGCACAGATAGCTTTGTTTAGTCGCTGAAGGAGAAAACGGTTAATGGCTAAAGCTAAGCTTCCTAAGGTGGGGGGAAAAGTCTCATGTGTCAGTAGTGATCTGAAGAGACAGCAGAGAATGAGTGAGATGAGTGAGGATGCTCGTCCTTCCCTCCCCCCTCCTGTAGCTCATCGTAGTGTGCGCTCGCGGAGAGCCCTCCCCCTCCCAGAGCCCTAGGCCCACCCGGTCCCGCCCCTGCCCGCCCGCCCGTCACAGGGGTCCTGATACCCACAGCACAGACTCCGGGCACCACAAGTCCCTGGAACCCCAAACGTCCACCTGAGGAAACAAACAAAACACAAAGGTCAGCATCTCAGACAACCAAATACGGGTCTACATCCATCAATACATCACAAACAAAAACATATTGTTATTATACCATCGACAAACAAAAACAAAAAATCTCACACCAGTATCAACCACTGACTGCAACACACAAGTCACACAAAATTATTAATTTTTAAGTCACGGCACTTGCAACGAAGGTCATACAAGTACTGAACATTGAGGTTAGAAGAGAGTAAAAAATTTGTTTTTAAAGTAAGGAGTGGAAACAAGGACGTCGGACGTTTGATAGTATAGAAAAAGCAAACCACACCAGAGCACCCCCCAAACCATCTACCAGCATATATCATTGCACAATAGATAATATATACATTATTTAAGCATTGCTGCTGAAATTTATTTTCACGATCGTTACCTAGGAAAGCCAAAATCCTGGAGCTATTAGCTGCAACTGACACCAAGGGGCACTTTTATGTTTCTATGGTTCTGAAGGGCATCTACATCTACAAACCCAGCATGATGTTTGTTTTAGTAGAGGTTTTACGGCCCTCGCAACTGCATATGGTCATATGAGCACCAGAAGTTTAGAGGTGTTACAAGAGAGTAACAAACATAAAAAAGAAGAAGGGGAGATAAGTACGATAGATGTTTGATAGGAAAGAAGAAGCAGACCACACCAGAGCACCCGCCAACCACCCACTAACCCAGCATGAGAAAGGTTCCACATGACATACGTAGGCCAAGAAGCACAATGTTCATAATCCTCACAGAACCTATTTGACCTATTTCAATCCTTTGACCCAGAATTTCTGTGGCGTTACCTCATTGTGAGGTGAACAGCAATAGCTGTTTAGGTACACTCACACACTAGCTTAAGTAAAGTGCTAGTCGTTAAGGTACCGGTACACACTCTAAAGGCATCACTTTCCCCTGTGGGAACAAGTTCCAGCACTAATCAGTCTAGAGAGGACAGGTCTTGCTGTGAGCAGCAATGGACCCCTAATTATCACTTACATGACGCCAACATGGATCACACGCCATAGTTGGCAGACAGACGTTCTCTCAGGGGCTGTGGGAACTGGTCTGAAAACTTGGACCAATTCTCCTCCCCAACTTGGGTCTTGAAGCCATGCAGGATCTGCAGAGCAAAAAGAAAGTGCAAGAGAGTGTCACAGAATGAAATTGAATAAATGAGAACAAAATTACAAGCAAGTCAGATTCCTTCGACTTACTTACGCAACTGTTCATTGATCATATGCGCCATTTCCAGACACTGCAAGACAAAAAGGCATTGTGACATCACCCTCACCAGCCACTACCCAATTCATGGACCCCCACAAAATACTGCAAATTTCACCTAGACTGAACATATTGGATTGTATCTAACCCTAAAGCGGCAACACTAGTGTACAATCTAAATTGTCCATGACAGCCAGCCATTATCAAGGCAAAAATAGTTGTTTTGCGTCAATGCTTAAAAAAAACAACCACACATAAGAAGCGGCCGTTTGTAAAGTGATTGTCTTGGTCTTACAATACAGCTCTGCACTGTCACCGAAAGGATGTATAATGATGAATACATACGATAAAGGCGATTAACATGCTTTTTGTTTAATTTCCCTTGCAAATGGCAAAAAAGAGCTATGTGAAGTTACAACCGGAAAAATTAGGAACTTGTTCAAAGTAGGCAGTTTAGTAGAGAAAATTTCAAATTAAATATGCTTTGAAATACTTTCAATTGAAAGCCTCTGCCTTCATAATCATAAAACAGTTTAAATTGTGTTGATATCTTTATTAGTTAAAAAGTTATGGTGATTTTTCATACCTAAAATCCAGCCATCTTCAGGCCATTTTTACACTGAGTTTTTGTGACACCAAAATGCAACTTTACAACACAAATGACCATTACTCTTAAAAAATTGCATATTTATTAAAGTGTTGTACATCAATTTGTTGAGAACTTTACACAAAATGCACACACCTACAAAACACCTCTTTACAAAGTCACAGAAATATTTTTGTAATGTGTTACGGACAAATGGTGTTCAGCCCGCCAATGTATAAAAACTGCCCCAAGGTCAGGAAAAAAGTTCTTTAATTTCATTTTGACAAGCACCCGATTCCACCAGGTCGTGACACATATAGTTGCAACACAATAAGGTCATATAAGTGACCAAGATTAGAGGCGTTACAAGAGAGTAACAAACAAAAAAGGAGGAGAGATAAGGACGATAGATGTTTGAAAGGAAAGAAGAAGCAAACCACACCACAGCTCCCGTCAACCACCCACAAGCATATGTTTGTGTGTGTCTAGCAATGACAATGAAAAATTAAATTTTCACCCAAATTGCTTAAAAATTGGCTTAAATGAAAATAGAGTAAATTCTAAGAACTATGGTTTTAAAATTTTTAAAATCCATTGATAAATAAAAAAGTTATTGGGATTGGAGGACCTTCATATAGGAAAAAATCGCTAAAATGTGGGACATGTTTTGATGTATTTTGAGGAAAAACTGTTCATAAGTCAGTAATGAATTGGAGCATATGAATGAAACTTGGCATCTCCATGTGATGTTTAGTGCCGAATCTAGTTCTGCTATCACTTTTTCGATGTCTTCATTACTTTGGATCTTAAAGACTAATATTTTCGTGAAATTTGTTGAATTGCGTGACATCGTTTTTACCGCGACGCGATGACCCCTTTTAAAACTCAGTAAAGCGCTATCAGGAAAACCCACGATGTAGTCATCGGTAACCCATTTGGTTATAGGCAGCCAATCACATGCCGCCTAGCGATCACACGCCTCTTGCATGCCGGCACCTCGCATTTGGGATGCGCGATCAAATGTTTTATCAATGGATGGGTGGTAATTTTAAGTTGGTACGGAAAATCTACTAAACGCAGTGATCTGAAATTTTACAGCAATAAAGAAGACATGTGGGGCGCTTGTGTGGTCGGCGATCAACCCGCAGCTCCGCTTAGTTTTCGAAGCGCAGAGGAAATTCGTACAAACACGGCAATATCTCCGGTTCTAGTAATCGTTCGGGATTGTACGCTGGCTTGTCGTTAGTTTAACCTTTCCTCTGGTTGGTTGCCGAGTTTCATTTATTTTCGTCCAGGAGTTTTCCCGTACCTATACTTAGCAGAGAGTCACTTCTGAATCCGAGCGGCCCAAAAAATACCCCTCGCGCGGAGGCCGATTTCAGGCCCAAGGCGCAGCGGGCGATTGGCATTGCTAGTGTGTCACAAGAGAACAGCAACAGAATGGGGGGACACCCACCCTGCACACTAAGCAAATGTCTCTCAAGAGAAAAGGGGCAGAAGAGGGAGGAGGCAGTGAGACCAACCTTGTAGAACATTTCTTTGAGATCTGGTTTTGGGTGCATCCATGAGGCTACTGCATCACAGAAGAAGATGAAGTCCTGGACCACTCCAGAAGGATTCACACCAATCATGAGGCACACACCACGAAAGGCAGAATCCTTCTCCTCATTGTCCCGGATGTTGCGCAGGGATGTGCACCTGAGAGGCAATAATGTGTCAGCACAATCGCATAGAAAACAAACGGCTCTACAGAGCTCCCACAACAGTGCACACATTTTGTTGAAAGAAGAAGAAAAAAAAAAAAACAGTGGGAAGCCGACCACCTACAAGCCACAACCTAAGAAAGTTTGTAAGAGTTAATGATTGCACCTATTGTTCCAAAAACTTCAGTCATTATCTTTCATAGCCATATTTCTCACTACACTTACCTGAGTGTAGGGGTACTTAACTAGACAGCTGAACAACTGCTTACTTTTACCAACTCAACAAATACTTTCTGATAAACTTAAAAAATAAGTATCAAATGTAAAAACAACATAAATAACCAGACAAAACTACTCAAGCAGTGATGAACATACAACATTTCACTTAAGAAGGGATATAATTACACAAAAATGTTTGCCATACTCTAAATAAAATATAAAAAAAAGAAGACAAAGAAATGAAATCAAAGCACACACGACAAAAACTTAAAGATTACTCAAGTATAAAGAAAAGTTACAATCAAAGAGCGAAACCAAAAGAAACTATAGCAAAGGAATTAAAAAAAAAATTACCATTGTCTGATAAACTGTTGTAATAGTGGGGCCACGTCTTGCGGGCAAACTAAGCCCAGTCTCCCAATAGTTATGGCTATGTAACCAACCAGGACGATGACGAGCACATGGTGACGATACAACGCACGAAGAAGGCAAATATAATGGGAAGAAAGAACATACAACGTCAACAATACATTACAGTCAACCGCACAGCCAAGAAATAAAATAAACAATAATAATAATAATAATAATAATTTCAACAAAGTGCATCTGAAAAAAATAAATCTCCCCTGAGAAGAAAAAATAAAAAAGTAAAAGAATTAGTCATACATGACAACAACATGACATAACACATGTCTGACAAAGCACCCGACAGAGAAGCTTCTAGTTCCCAACATCATAGCAATTCGGTCCACCTCTCTCACGGAACAAGGCAGAGTAGAGCAGACAGCCAATGACACGGGTAAGAGCCGTCCGTCGCCTGAGATCATTTAACACCCCCATCATCCTTCCCACACCAATTGCAAATATCAATACAGACACTTACAACCATCTTTTCACAACTTCCTTACTAGGGTAACTTTTTAACTTCCCAACAATAACCTCCAGCACTGTTCTGGTTAACAAGTAATACCAAAGGCATTAAGGCAAACAAATCAAACTAGATAACCTTGACCACAAAAAAAGTTTATATTATTCCCAGCTGCAATCTTGATACAGAAAATAAAAGTAATGAATTAAAGTATTTCGGGAAATTTTCTTGGCACAAATCATATTTAAGGCATAAGGGCAAATAAACCAAACTAGGTAACCTAGACAACAAAAATGTTTCTATTGTTACGAGTTGCACTCACACAAATTTTGTGGTTTAAAAACCCAATAAAAGTAACCAGTTTCAGTATCACACACAACATATACAGAAAGGGCATGGTAACACAACTGAAGTATGAATAGTGAACGTAAGTAGGTAGATGTACTAAAACTCATGAAACCATGTTACTGTGGAAAGCTGCTACAAGTGGAGCTAAGTGCGCCAGGGTCATCAGGTACACAAGGAGGAACACACACATACAATCACGAGGGGACGCAAACCACCAGCCCATCTCATCACTGTCAGAATATTTCTCTACGATGGGAGTTGGCACTCACCCAAAAGATTACCCTGCTTATAGAACACCCCTTCCTTTATTGAGCGAAAGCTTTACATGCCACAGTGGCTGCTGGGTATATCCAATACTGTCAATCTGGCAGGAAGGCAATGCCCCCCCCCCCCAAAGCCCATTTTGCGGCAGAATCCAGAGAATAACCCTAGTAAGACCAGCCCATTTTGCGGCAGAATCTAGAGAACCCTAGTAAGACCAGCAGACTACCAGATGCTCAGGGTGACGGAACAATACCATCCCTCTACAATATTCCTAACGGCAAACCGAAAGGGTGGATATATCATAATTAGTAAGGGGGGTAAAATGGTGCAACTTATATTCTGATCACCCACCTGTGTTTTCCAACAGAGTCTTGGGAGTATTGGAGCGGTTAATGATGTCAATCAGTTGAGTCAACACCATCCCAATGAAGGGCTGCATGTCGGCACCTGCAGGAGGGAGAATGTAAGGTTCTTCAAGAATTGACAAGGAAACAAATTAAAGACCTGCATGTCACCCTCAACCAGATTGTCAGAAAATTTTGCATCTGATTCCGAACTCAGGGACCACGGTCATAGACTCAGCTGAGTCTATTAATTTACGCACCTGATGAAATGCTCTTTTACCAACATTAATATTACAGCACAACCTATAATGAGGTTTGGCACAATAGAATTGGAATATGAATCCTCCATTACGGTCTATAATGATCTATCTAGACCTAGAAGAACAAGAGAATAGAACTTGAATTAATCCTCATCCGAATAATCAGTTAACAGACGAAATTCAAAATGGCCGCTCAAGCATGAAACTGAAAGTAGATCATTTAGGTCATCGTCCTTTTTCGTATTCGTATTTCTACTTAGGTTCCCACAATCAATTCGGAAACGCCGACGTCGGCACGAAAACGAAAGTGCCGACAAAGCTAACCGGAAAAAAAAGGGGACGCTGGCATTTCACATACATTGACTAATACAGGTGGGCCTAGCGACAGCATCAGCCGGGTCGCAATTGTCGGATTTCAGATGATTGTCGGCAAACATGCAGATCTAAAATTACAAGTAAAAACATCCTTTCTGTTGCACCCCTTCACACATGAACACATGTAGTACACTTTTTATTTCCTTCAAAACCCAGAGTACGCCTGGCACCAGCTGTGTTGTCCTGTTTTAGGTCTACAAATTCACACACCTATTTCTTTCTCCTGATTTTAAAGCACTGTAAGAAGTGAAGCAAGGACACAAAAACTTTTAATTAAGTTCACAATTTATTTGTACTAAAGCTTACTTGCAGCTAAAACACTTGTCCTAAAACGTTTCATTGAGGACATAACAGCTGCACTGTGATCACATATACTCACCCATTTTGATGGAGATTTCCCCAATGGCCCAAGTAGCATTATTACACACAGAGATGAATTCTGGGTTCAAGTTAGCTCCAAGGATTGGCATGAATTCCGCTGTGAAGTAAAAAAAAAAACCAAAAAAAACTGATCACTGGATGTTCTGCACCTCATCCAGTTTTCTTGTAAAAAAAAAATATTTTTTTTAATTTAAAAAAAATCAAACTAAAACACAAGTAAACATTGAACGTTTTATGGACCCTGACCAAATTAAGACGCGACAGAGTTATTGGCCACACTCCTTTTTCACTGTTTTGAAAATATAGCATAGACATAGGGTAACAAACACACTAACAATGTCATCACTTACAAGCGGCCCCCATGTGATTTCTTAGCAAACTTTTATTAAATATAGAGATGAAGATGACAAAATATTTCCAATTTTTTTGTCACTCTATGCCAGGAGTTGGGATTGAGGGTAGTGTTATGCCCCCCAGGACAGCTTGGCAGGGATCTAGAGTAAGCGCCAAAGAAACAACAACTAAAAAAACCCCAAAAAAACAACAACAACAAAAAACAACACTTAACACTAAGACTAATATATGCACATTACCAACATCAGAGCATCATGATCGTCACCATAAATAATCATCATCATGATCACCACCAACGAGTAAACAATTCCCCCTTTTCTTGAAAACAATCTGCACCATGTCAATACATTTTTAGGCAACCTACAAATATGAGCACCAAAATCAGGACACGGGACCAAAAAAAAAAAGAAGAAGAAGAAATGAAGCTACACAGCCAGCCCCTCATGACCTTTAGTGCTTGTTTAGTGTTTACAAATGTCAGTCCCAGTTAATGAGCTCTCAGTACCACCATTACTCAGCAATCACTGAATCAGCTCCAAAATCATGTGTCACTCCAGGATACCTTAATAATTGGCAGACACCCACTCCTAACGATAACATCCAGGAAACTTTAGACAAAAAAATTTTTTTTTTTAGATAAAACATTTGACCACAGAGGCAGTTCAGTTTAACAGCATTATAGTCCAAGATACACATTAGAGTATGATGAGAAGTATACAGGTAAATTACTTTCTCTTGGGGGAAGACTGCAATAGAAAATAGAAGTTGACCAAAAAAAAAAAAAGATGCTTTAAGCACCTCTATCCACGTCTCCGGATCAGACAGTACGAATACTAGCAAACATCATTAAGTGTCAATGCTCAAAGCTGTCATCACTTCCAGTCCAATACCAGGCAGTAAATACTGACAGGACCTCTGAACATACGATGATACTTTAACCGCAGTTCACGAGTTGTAACAGGTGAATCTGATTACCCATCAGCAATCATTGAAACATCCCCATACCGCCCGCGAGCGCTTGATATAAGACTCAATACTACTCAAGGCATGGGTTTAAC